CTACGTCATAATCAGCTGATAAAAGACTATTGGGTTTTGTGTTGTTATTATTTTCCTTAAATTTTCGAGTTATAATTAAAGTCGGTAGTATAACAACACATACTGTTGTTATTTATTTACAACCAGGTCCGATACTTATCATTTTGGCGACGAGAATGGGATACTTGTGTTTGCCATTTTAAGTGCGTTATTTCGTCCGGTGGTAAATAAAGCAAATTGTGTGCAAGATGGCGACTGCAAGGTTGGGAATCATACCTCAAGCGTATGGACTTTTTCTTCGCGGCAAATAACATTACGAACCCTGATAAGAAAAAAGCTACATTTCTAAGTTTGTGCGGTCCAACTACGCTCTAACGTCGAAATCAACAGACGTGAAATAATATCTGTGTATCTAAAATAATTACGAAAATTGGCAAAACCCTGTGGTTTCAGAACTAACCTTGAGATATTGCTTCGCGACCAACTCGTTTGTGGTATTGCTTACGAATCGCAACAGCAAAAGTTGTTGGCCACAAATATCTAAGTTAAAACTTAAAGACGCATAAGACATGTGCCTTGCACACGAGGTGGCCGTGGAAAGTTTTGCGGTGCTATGAGAAAGTGAGTCGAGCGCAGATGTAAACGAGGTAAAGGTTTTCGGTGCTAAAGAGACCACTTTCCTGAAACTTGTGAACACGTTAATTCAACCTGTACCTATATATTGCAGGAAAATTGGACGCATCGAAATAGCTTGTTTTGTTAAAAAGGAGAACCAAAATCGAAGATGCTAAGTCCATCAAACTACCGTTGAATCTACGTCCAATACCGAGCCGGTTTCGGGAAACACTTCGGGAATATTTTTTATCAAAGTAGTGACTATAATTTTTCGGTAAATAACGTGACGTCTGATAGCATTACCGATAAATATTTAGTAGACGTGCTACTCAATGACCCAAAAGTGAAACTGGAGGTTGACTCGGGTGCAAGTTTTTTAGTGATACGCAAATCAACCTACGATAAAATCTTAAGTGAAAATTGACCTAAAATAAATAAATCCAGTGTTATTTTCACTGGATTGATTATCATCCTGGGTGGGTGTCAAGAGAGGTCAACGATCAGCGATACTTCCTCTTATAGACATGGAAGGCAACCGCGCCAGTCTACTCTGCAGAAACTGGTTTGGTAGTTTAGTTTTCACCATAGCTGGGCTAAGTCAGATTTTATCCATGATTCATTATTCAGACGAATACTCAGATATATTTAATACAGATTTGGGATCTTACCGGAGTCTCCCAGTAAGTTTTCGTTAGACAAAAATATAAAGCCAATTATGTTTAAAGCGGGTAAAGTTCCATTTGGGCTAAAAGACAAAATCGAAGTTGAACTGGACAGGCTTATTACTCAGGGGGTTTTTGAGCGATTACAGACCCAAAATGGTGCACCCAATAATTGTGACTGTTTGCAAGAATAACGGGGTGGTTAGGATATGTGATGACTACAAATCAACATTGAATTTAGCGTTAAACCCGGAACCTTATTCAGTGCCATCGGTACAGAGTACCATATCCACCCTTGCGGGCGGTTAAATTTTTGCAAAGCTGGACATGGCGCAATCCAAGTTTTTCAAAAATTCATAGACACTAAATTAACAGGTATTACGGGTGACATTATTACGATTATATTTTAATAGTCGGTAGCTCAGAAATATACTTAGACTCTTTTAGAATAAACTTTAAGAATTGGTATTAAATGTTTTCAAGAAAACGAGACTGTATTTGCAAGATCAATGTCCAGGTCAAAAGTGGCTTCCATCCAAAATAATTGAAACCACTGGTCCGTTAAGCTATAAAGTTCAAACCCCTCATGGTAAAATTTTACGTCGTCATTCTGACCAAATCAGAACCCGTGTGTCTAACCAAGAAGCAACAGACGAAATTATACCGTCAACCTCGATAGAAACAAAATTACTGGCAACTCCACAACCGCCTTTTCCGCATCCAAACGAATTTGTAGACCCAGAAACAGAATTTGTAGAGCAGGTCGCTGAAGTTAAAAAGCCACCTGTTCGAATAAAAAATCTTCCAAGGTACTTGGAAGATTATGAGTAAATTCATCCAGGAGGGAGGAGTGTGATGTATTGGTAACCATGCAGTGCGGCTACGTCACAATCAGCTGATAAAAAATTTTAGACGAGATAGACGTTCGACTATCGGGTTTTGTTTTGTTAATATTTTTCTTTCATTTTGGAGTGATAATTAAAGTCGATAGTATTACAATACTGTTATTTATTTACAACCCGGTCCGATAATTATCAAATATTTTATAGAATTTTATGACAATAAACGTATCCTAAAATTTACCACTGAAAATAAACTGAAGTAAGAGTGTAAATAACTTAATTTAAATTTTCGTACTGTCATTAATAATATATAAAATAGAGTATGTTTCCACTGTGGTGGTGGAAATTTATAGGAACAGTAAAGTCTCACCAAACAAGGAATTGGCGTTCCAAAAAATATTTATGATTTAAATCAAATTGTTAAAGATGTGTACACACAATTTATTAAACAATGATATTGTCTGTATTTAAAGCCATAGATACGTATTACAGATTACAGTATTAATAAATATTAATTACTAAGATTTTTTTAACTTTAAAACCTTTATTATTTATATTATTACTCACTTAAACGTCACAAAGTTAAATAGAAGAATATACGACATGATTGAAATAAAGTAAAAAAATAATGTTTGGAAAACTTATATTCACTTAGGTACATCGTAATGTTAAATTATATTATTCACTTTCATAATCAGATGAGCTGTCGTCGTCACTAGAATCAAATAAATTAATCCTTAATTCTTCAGTAATTACATATATGCGACGTTCACTTTCCAAATACTTATCTTCAACCTTGACAACATGTTCACACACTTTCTTCCAGTTATCTACAGTTACTCTAGCAAATTCTTGTTCCACCAACACTCTTATGTCTTCTAACTAAAAATAAACATTTTGTTTTGCAACTTCATTTTTTATTTGTGCCCAAACCATTTCTATAGGGTTCAAGTCTGGATGATATGGCGAAGGTTTTAAAGAAACATGTCCACATTCTTGCAGCACCTTCTCAAATTTATATTGAATATAATCTTGTTTGTGTCGTTTGATGCTTTCATACAATTGAGGTTTTAACATTGACGTTACAAATGGTAATTTTTTTTCTGCCAACCAAGATATCATATCCATTTTTTTTAGAATTACTGGTGGGTGCTTTATAAATTTGTACATTATGATATGCATAGATTAGAGGGATGATATGACGCATCCTTTTGAAATGTTTTTGAACAATCCTTTGCCACTGTCATCTGTCCATCTATTTGGCGTAGTGTTTTCTGCATGTGCTTAGGTTTTATCAACATATACAATTTATATTATCTAATATTTAATTTTGTCCAAATATTTAATGCGTAGAGCACAAATATCATTCCGTTCAATTAATAAACATCGATTATCTTTCGTTTTCTTCCATTTTAATCCCAACTCTTTCACAATTCTCTAGAGAGAACTCACACTTCCAGTCCACTTGTACACCTCTTCAAGACTTTTCTGCAAAAGCTTCAATGATACACAACAACGTTCTGCGCGATTAACTATTTCGTGGAAGAGCTCGCCACTCGATTTGAAATAAGCTGTAGCGCACGACTGAATGATAATAAAATCAAAAATTATGTAAAGGTACTAAGTTAGTTACATTTAGGTTAGGGCCCTAACACTTGCAAAATAAAACTGCGTTATACAATAAATCAGAGGTTAAATTTTTATATTTTTGAAATTGTGTAATCGTCTATAGATTTGTATTAACAAATAGAAAGATTACTATTTACAAAATAGCTGTTCAGCCATCACCATTTGTTTGGTGTATAAATTAATAAATAAAACTTAATAATGAAAATGAAAGTCATTTAGAATCATTATTTTGAATTTATTAAGTGCAATGCGCATTGCATACAACAACTGTAAGTTGACTACATTTGGCGCAACTCAACAACTAAAATAAATTATATGATAAAAATTACACATAATAATTGAATTAGTAAAGAAACTTAAATTTTTAAATTTATTACAGAGAAAATGTTAAAAAATCTTTTTTTTATGTTGAACATTTTAAAATTATTTTTAAATTTAAACATTATTAATTCTGTCAAAAATAAAAATATTTTACTCCCAAGTAAAAATCACATTTTTTAAAACACCTCATATATAACTAATAAAAGTTGATATCTGATGGTATATGGTATAGATCAGTATATTATAACTGTTTATATGGAAAAATAAAACTGCTTTTACTATTTTCCCTATAATTTCATCATATTTTCTTGATTGGTTCAAATGAACTACTACTATAATAGAGGTAGAGTCGTTTTAAAAACGTTTAGTATAAGGGTATAATGTAACTGTTTGTATGGAAAAGGCTTTAAATAAATATCTCAAAACCAAAATAAGCTAAATCGATTCAGTCATTCTTGATTTATTATAAAAAAAGTTATAAAACATGTACGGTGTACAGATTCTTTGATAAATCGTTTTTTGTTGTGTATTTACCCCCCTGCGAGAGAGGTTTTAGGGGGAAGCCCGAGGGTAAAATTGGTAAACTTTTTAATGGTCCCAAAATTAATATTCTATGCATAATTTTTCTATGCAGCTTGTTCGTATGATTTTTAGGGGTCAATTCTCTGACGACTGGACTAACAATCAATTCAGAAGTGAAACTTGTGATGAACTATTTATTTTGCGGATTGGAGTACTAGAAATTATTAAAAAATATTTTAAAATAAACTAAACCAGCAAAAAATCGTTGATTGAAATATTATCCATTGGCAACCATGCATCAAGGATAAAATATAATGTCATAATGCCAAATAAAATTATTTAAAGATCAGGGAATTGCCCATCTCTATCTCCATCATAATTTAACTTTGACAGTGACAGTAGTAATGTCTGAATATTTTTGTTTACAAAGATTGAACATAAAAAATAAATAATTTTTTGTTAAGACAATAATTTTTCACTTTATTACTAATAAAATGTCTTAATAAACTGAAGATGTTTTAGCGTCTGTGACATAATGGATTCTAGGTGCCGTCTTTGTGCAGAATGCCCTTCCAGCCAAGTTCCTATTCTGGAAGATACTGGTTTTTGCTCAAAAATATTTCAGTTGTTTCAAATAAAAGTGTCTGCTGGTGATAGTTTTCCGACTTGTGTTTGCCATGATTGTTATGATATGGTAGAAAAGACGTGGAGCTTCAATGACAGAGTTCAGAAAGCTCAAGTTAGTATCTTTGGACTTCTTCAATATTGGTGCAATGAACATAACCTGGCATCCAACTATATGTTTGTGTGACACAGTGTTGCCACTTTTTTTGTATAAATTATAGGAGTGTTTAAAATAGAAAGATACTTTGAGGAAATTATATATGCTTTAAAAAACTTATACAGAAGTAAAATGCTTCACATTTGTATTTAGGTATATACTTAGGTAAATGTTAAGTGTTTTACTTCTGTAAAATGTAAAAATGTACACGCCACAGCCACAATTTTTGAATTCATATTAAAAAGCATTCATAAAATAGTATTTTTTTTTATTTTAAATATAGCTAAATACTTTTGTTTAACCTAATTTTTTTTTCATTTAACTTTACTTTATTCTGTAATTTATAAAGTTTCTAAACTATTAATTTTTAAGCATAATTTTAATGGTTTTTATTATATAAGTATTTTTAAATGTAGAAATGCAAGATATAATTTTATTTTATAATATTTATAGGTATAATTTTAATGAATTATACACCTATGTATAGGTAAAAATATATATATTTTTCACATTTTTGTTTAATTATATATGTATTTTTCAATTTTACATTTTCATTTCATATAATATAAATCTTGCCAATAATTTTATATGTGAGAGTGGGAAATATTTGAGTATATGGCAACACTGACGTATATTAAGCTTACATTTAACATCAAACATATCAACGAGGTTATGTTCATTGCACCAATATTGAAGAAGTCCCTTTTATTCATTTTTTAAAATACCTTAATTAAAAATTGATCCATTAAAAACAGAATATATAAACATAATTATATTCAAATATCGTTGCTTTTTAATATGTATATTCAATTATAAATATTACAATAAAAGATGTACCTATGTTGAAGATGATACATATTAAAAAGTAACCAACTGGCATAAATAATAATACTAGTATCAAAGACAAAGTATTCATCAATAATAGCACCTCAGAGTTAGGTGGGTTAAGTCACCAAATCTAAATTTGATGAGAGAGCTACTTTAAAATGCAGTAATTGTTTAAAAAATTGTAAATAAACCATGGATTGACTAAATATGTTATCTTTGTAATCTATCTATGTGATCAAAACTCTAGTGTGTGAACCATTTATTCCAATTTTTTTTTGTGTTACTCGATATTTTGACTTTGATGTGACTTACTATCCCACAAGCAAGAGCTGGTAGGTGAGCTGCATGAAAATAGAAAACGAATTATTCTAAGAGAGATAGGATAGGTACTTAATTGCGAGTGTCACAAACGTGTAGTTGCTGTATCAAAAATTTAGTTGGGATCTGAAAATTAAGTTAGTAGATACACATTTTATGCTTACCGTATTATTATGTTAGACAATTAATGCAAAAGCTTTGACCAATTTTTGAATTAAATTAAATTTATAATTAAGATAAATGATAACTATAACTCGATTATAAAAGTTTTGAATTGATGATTTCCTTTATTTAAAACTAAAAAATCAATTATTTACATATTAAAGTTTGTATATATACCATTTTTCAACGTAGAACACTTGCAGGTCACGATTTATACAAAGTGACATCACTTGTATTTAAAATTTCCAGAACATCAACCTTAGAGTCCAAATTTTCATAAGACAGCTAATAATCCGAAAACCATACAGGACTGCTTGATCTTTCATAGGCGTCAACATGGTCTATTAACAAGAAAGATGTAATCATCATTATATTGGAAATTTTATAATTATATTGATTAAATAACTAAAAACATTTGTTATTATTAATAATATAAATTTTATGAATTAACTCTTTAAGTCTAATATTCCACAAAATAATAATTTTAATTAAATATATTAGACAATTGTACGCAACTGATACGGATATACTTCAAATTTATTGACAGTTCAGCATCAGTCAGTGTGTGGCCAAAGTGTATAAATTGTTGCCGCTTTGTTAGAGTAGGAATGTTGTTTATATTTGGATCTCTTACACAATTTGATCATAATATAATATATATATTAATAAATTGTATTTATAAATACTTATTAAATTTAGATTAATAGCTTTAAAAACTAATTATTGTTGTGTATTGTGATTGTGATATGCCAACACAAATAAATAGTCTGTAGAAAGCTGATAAGCTTTCATATAAGATAGATTATTTTGAACAAGAAATAATGACGGGACATTTTTACTATTAAATCCCTAAAAGAGGTAAGTTTAAAATTTAGAATATATAATTTTGTATTAAAATGTTTTCTTATGTATTTTAATTGGTTGCAGTAGTCTTAAAACTAAGTGTATTTACTGTTCATATAATAGTTTGAGAAACAGTTGACATTTTAAAAATTCTTCACTTACTAACTATTCTGATGTTTTGGCAACACTGTGGGGTTCTGATGATGTAAATCTTGAATGATGTGCAAGCTTTTTTATATGAAAAATGCTATGTATATATATATATATATATATATTATATATATATATATATATATATATATATCCGTACCTCGGAGGTAAAGGACACTGTTATATATAATATATTAATTTTGGTTAAATATCAGAAACATTTGAGTATTTACTGATTACAAATTTAAAACATTTAAAACTGCTCTCCTTAAAAAGTAAGAAAATGGACATAGTGTCCTTTACCTCTGAGGTACGGATATATTTACATATATATTTATGTAGAATAAGTCCTGCATGTAACAAGTGTTAACTCACTTGTGTTAACAGTGCAAAGTTATATAAACAGTATAATACATATAAATATATATTACCTATAGCATTATTCTTCAGTCTTCTTCTTTGTGCGACTAGGACTACTAAAGTTTGTCTGCCTCTTATTCTGTTTCAGTCGTTGTTGACTGTACATTATCTTTCCACCTTTTTGGCGGTCTTCCAACGGGTCTTCTGCTATATGGCTTGTTGTTTTTACAGATATTCGCTAATCTATCTGGTCCCATTAGGTTTACATGTTCGTTCCAGTTTTTTTTCTTGTTTTTATCCACCTGCTAAAATTTTGAATTTTGCATTGTTCGCTTATACTTCTGTTGGATTGTCTGTCTCTTAATGATATGCCCGCTATTGATCTCAAGACTTTCATTTAGAGATTGTTGATTTGTTGTTTTGTCTTTCTTGTATTTATCCTTGTCTCCGCTGCATATGTTAGGATTGGCCTTACTGTTGTCTTGTATACTTTCATTTTGCTTTCCGTGGTCAGATATTTGTTTCTCCATATGGTTTCTCGGAGGCAACCACTTACTCTTGCCGCTTTTGATGCTTGCCTTGTTGTCTCTGTTCTTATATCCCTGTCACTAGTGATCTCTACTCCTAGGTAAATGAATTTCATTACTTGTTCTACAATTTTGCCGTCTATTCTTCAATAAATATAACAATTTCACTTATAATAACAGTTTTATTATCAATAATAGTGAACTGTAAATGACTAATTAATTGATCCATTGTTTACTTATTATTTACTGGTAATCTAATGCACTGTAGTTTTTTATTTATTGATTGATTCTAACTTAACGTTACTTAAATTAAATTATTTAAATCTGAATTTATTTTGAAAATGAGTATTATAATTACCAGTTAATTGAGCTACACTTTCTTGTATCTTTTTTAAATTAACTAAAACTTTATCTGCAGTAGCTTCTTCAGTTGTAAACTTAAAAACATTGAAAATTGTATCTTGTACTTGAGATCCCAAAGGTTTGCCCGTTAATACACTTGCCATTTTAATAAATATAAATAATAGTTTATAATATAAGGCCACTCCAAATAAAAATGTAAATGCTTGACAATACTGTCAGAAATTTATCACTAATCCTATGATGTGAACTCCTCGCTGAAGCAAGAGAAATGAACATCCTTTCCACTTTTCAATTGTGCAAGCCGCCCTCTCGCTTGTCGCATTGTATGAGCTCTAAATTTTTAATTCTTTGTGATTTACTCCAGAATATCACTAAGATTGTGACTTACCACAGGATGCCACTAAGATTGTATACAAATAAAACAAAATTTATGAGAAAAATTGAATGTTTTTCCCAAATATACTTGAATACAAAAAGACTAAAAATTAACTTTTTTTAATAGAATATAAAAATGTATAAAGTCAGAATAAGAAAAGATGTAATACATATATTCTTACAAACGCTGAATGTTGGAGGTTTTTGTAAAATGGATGAAAAATGAGGTACCATTTAAACATTTTTATGGATGTTTATACTTTTGGTTTATGGATTTTGAATAAAAATCTGTTTATAATATAAACCAACACATCATAATTTTAAACTGAGACTTCACAGAAACAAATCAGCTTCAAGATATGTATATAATCCTTAATAAGTATTTGTATTTAATTTCCTCAAGTTGTGCAAATCTGTTTTGAATATAAAAGTAGCACATTCTGATTTTGGGATTTGCAATAATTATCTGACTACTTAAATAATTTTTTTTCAAATTTGGTGAAATATTTAATGATTCCATACATTCCACAAGGCAAGAAGCCATCTTGTTTACATCATTAATAGACTCATCCCACCTACAGCATTAAGTATCTTTATCTGTACTAAAGTGGATTATAGTTATTGACCATTACAACTTTGAACCTTGAGTTTTGAAATGACTACCCCATATCAGCTTTTTTTTAGGTTGTCTCTTTTAGAAGCTTTATCAATGTGTTTTTATAC